ATAGGTACATAAATTCATTTAGGCAATTGGACAATTTAATATAAAGCAGCAATTAAGAACAACAACAACAACAATAATAATAATAATAATAATAATAATAATAATAATTATAATAATAATCCTAATAATAATAATAATCCATTTTATTCATGAACGAACGGGGCGTTGCACATATACACCACAATCTCATCCACATTTCGCTCAAAATATTCAAATAATGAACATTCCTCCAAAAAAGAATGCCAAGATGTTCATTGTACCACAAAATTGTGTCGGTCGAACTTGACCGCAAACAAAAGTTGAGATAAATTTCATACCTGAAGATCTTGAATATCACTTCCCATTATCCTACCTCTCCAAAAGAGAATGATTTCGGCCTTTGAAATCGCCCCTGGTGATCGACATCATCCAGGCTCATCCTTCCTTATCACCCACCTTTAATGGATCTATGCTCGTTCATTTTTGTCCTCGACACTCAACAGCTCGTCCGCCATAGCCCGTCAAGACTCGGGTTATTTTGTTGTTTCCTCGACAAGAATTCAGAGAGATATCATTTATCCACATTATATTCAAGTTTTCAATTTTGCAATTCTCCACGCCAAAAAGAAAAACAAGATATCAAATACCAAAATCACCATCTTCTTGATTTAAGACATGCTCGAGCAATGACATGTTTAAAAAATTACAAATAATCCATTTCAACAAAATCCACATTTTCACATGAAGATCCACATTTCCATGAGTCCATCGATAAATGCACCAAACACACGATGAGCGTAATCACAAACATCCTCCATTTGAAACTACGACCCGCCTTATCTGTAATCAGATGTATCAAGGAACAAATCCAATGTATCCACGCTCAGATTGAATATACCCACAATTAAATCAAATAATTCCTCGATCAAATCAAGTATATCCCCGAGCAAATCCAATATATTCGCGAACAAATCAAATAATCGCTCGAGCAAATAAAGTAATCCTCGACGAATAAATCAATTGGCTCCTCAAATAAATCACATAATTACCCAAACGAATCAAATAATTCTCCTCGAATCCAACAACTAATTCTCCACGTCAAATAATTTCCATGAATGTATCAAATGTTTTCTACAAACAAATCAAATATACTCCTCAAATAGATCAAATAATATCCTCGAATCAATCAACTATTTCTCCACGTCCAATAATTTCCACGAATATATCAAATAATGTCTCCTTGAACAAGTCAAATACTATCCATGAATAAATTACATAATGTCTCCACGAATGAATAAATGTCTCCTCGATCAAATCCAATAATTTCACGAATAAATTACATAATCCAATACGAGCGAATAAAATAATCCACCATGAATAAATCAAATATATCCACTAACGAGTCAAATAATCCTCAATCAAATTGAATATATGTCCGCAACAAATCAAATAATCCCTCGAATAAGTCGAATATTGCTCCACAAATAATATCTTCACGAGTAAACCAAATATTTCCACGAGCAAATTATATAATTCATCCATGAATCAACCAAATAATTCCAATTATTACCCATTTAAAATTCCTCAAGTCTCTAAATTTAAATTAATCACATACCTCCGTTGTGAAAATAATATCTCAAATTACCTTACCGTTCCCTTTTAATTGTCTCAAATTAATTTTGGGGCGAAAATAAGGCTGTTTGTATCATTTTGGCACCATTCTAGCCATTTCTAGGCAGTTAGGTTGATTTCACTGCCATTGGGCCGCGTGTTGGGCGCTTACGGGCCGCACAAGGGCATCTGGGCCGCATTTGGGCGCTGGGTCGCAGCTAGTGGACGGTGGGCTGAGGAAGCGGGCCAAAATCGGGTCCTCGCGGGCTGAGCAGCTGTCAATTAAGCGGGCTGAACTTTGGGCTGAACGCGGGCTAGCGCGGGCCAGATGGTGTGAGGGTATCGGGCCGCGCGGGTTGAAGGCGTCCCGCGCGCTGAGATGTACTAGTATCGGGCTGCTGGGATGTTGGGCCGCTCGAAGTGGGCCAAGGAAACTGGGCTGACTGCTTTCTCCTGGACCGTAAGGCGTGTGCTTCCTCTCTGGGCTGCAGGGCTCGGGTCTGAGCGTGCTGGAGTGCTGGGCTATCCTCTTAGGCCCGCGATTCATGCCTGGCTCGCTGGGAGAGAGCGCACAGAAGCAGCAACTCGCCGGAGAGATATTGACGGTGAACAGTCGTCGGCTCCGGCGAGGGTAACCAGCTGAGGGTACGTCTCGGCGCATAGAATCCGATGGTGCTGGCTGGTTGGTGCGGTTAGCCGGAATCGACGGGAAATCGGAGAAGAAGACCATTGGTTGACCAAAAACTTCTTAGATCCACAATCTTTGACCGGTAAATTGACGGCCTTCCCGGAAGAACTTTTGCTCCAAATTTTAAGGGTAGAACGAGCTCGACGAGAGCTTCACGATGGTGTACCAGTTTTTCAGATCGGATGACTTTGGGCGGCGAGCGGCGGCAGAGGCGGAGGCGGCGGCGCACGGCGGCAGCGGGCGGTGGCGCCCAGTAATGGTCGATAGCTGGAGCTTCGCCTCGATGATAGGATTCCAGTGGTACCCTCGGATTTTTCATAGCCCTCCCGGATCGTCGGGAAAACGCATTTGAATGCTCGATTTTGACCGATTTTTCCCTAGATCTGGAACCTTTGACCACGAGATTGACGGCCTTCCCGGATAAATTTTTGCATTAAATTTTAAGGGTAGATTCACCTCGAAGAGATCTTTCCAATGATGTAAACGATTTTCAGATCGGAGCATGTTTTCCGGCGTCCGCCGGCGGAAGTGGCGGCGGCGGTGGCGGCGACCGGTGGAGAAGAAGGAGGTTTTCAAATTTTTTCAGTCGGAACTCCGCTTGACTTTTTTTACGGGTCCCACAGACGGCGCCAATGAAGTGAAATAGATTTCACCCGGGCTCCTTCAGCTCGACCGGCCTCCGTACCTGCAAGAACCCAACGCCGGGGGTTGCCCCGGCGTCGGGCCTCCGATGCCTAAGTTAGTGCTCCATCAGGAGAGAGAGAAAGTGTAGTCATCAAATGAGTAGAGAATGAGAGAATGAGGTACGTTGGCCCCCTTTTATAGGGGGAGTGTACCTTTTGGGCCCAAGTTGGGCTTGACCACTATCTTTGGGCTTAGATATCCTAGTGGGCTTATCCTCCAATATGTATCCGCTTTATCCATTAAACCGGGTTCATTATAATATCATATATCATACCCTAACTTAATCATGACATGAAGAGTTACACACAACGGTTCAAAGGATCACAATTATAATTCGACACAGCCGTGGCGTGCGCTACGTGCGGCGCCTACGGCTTTGGCCAATCCTTCGGCCGATAATCCATTTTCTTCGACCATCATAGCCTAACTGGACATGAAATGACTTATAATAACTGAATAAACATAATGCGTTTGGGATATGCCAATTAACATGAACTTGGCTCGAGACAATGTAACATGGTTCGACCGAGAGCAAATACTGGCGATTTACGAACTTAACTACATGAATAAGACTGAACATGATCTTATTAACTTAGAAAGAGGGTCAGGACGAGCTTACCTCTTTAATTGCTCGATCAAATACGTAAGATTTTTTTTTTGTGTCCGCTCGATAGCCTTGCTCGTGCGTGCGATGGACTATAACTTAAACTAGCTTAATCTCTAATCATTTGCTTAATGTATGCATAAGTATATGTTGAACCATTTCCCAACTCCTTGATATATATATATATATATATATATTCGAATAATATAAAGTAAATTGGGATAAAATGAAGAGAATTGACATGGCCAATCGGCTTGTGCCATTTGCTAAATATTAGAGTGGCTAGGTGTACTCTTTTGTGCTTAGTCATCACTTTAAGCACAAACCAAATGCCACATAAGGTAAGATAAAATGATGATAGCACG